TTTATGTTACTACAACCCGGCTTAGGACCGGGAAAGGAAAGGGAAAGGTGGGGGCTATCTTCACAAAGTAAACCTCCAACCTCAAATTGTATGACATGAGATCTGCGACACATTATGCTGCTATGCAAAGAACACATGACCCAGAGGGAGAGGATGTAACAAGCATTCGCAAAGTCTTCAACAGAGCATCCATTTAACTACTTACTATGTTTTTTTTGTTTTTTTGTTTTAATTTTGCTCGTAGACAGAGGGACCTCGACGGTGACAAACTATTTAATTTAAATTTCACCTAATCAACTTTACTCCAAAAGAACTTGTCCGTTAACATAAAAAAACCATAACTACGATCAAAGAATCTAGCCAAAAAAGCACATAATAGTCAAAATATTCTGTGAAATGGATAAAAATAGTTGTCTTTCTCAAATAATTCAGCAGCAGTGCCCTGATGATGCGACTATATGTCGCGAAAGCTCGGCGAATTGTTTGCATGAGTTTGTAACTTCATTCAAGACCATAAAACTGACTCTCTCCAACATTAGATTTGTAAGATGTTACAAAAACCTAAAGACGCTATGAGTAAAGTAGGTTTTAAAAAATTTGTTTTAATGGACTAGTTCTTTTGGAGTAAAGTTGATTAGTTTAAATTTAAATTAAATAGTTTTTCTCCGTCGAGGTCCCTCTGTCTACGAGCAAATTTAGAAAAAAAAACCATAACTACGATCGAAGAATCTAGCCAAAAAGAACATAATGGTCCAAATGTTCTGTGAAATGGATAAAAATATTTGTCTTTTTCAAATATGTAACACATAATTCAGCAGCATTGCCCCGATGGAGCGACTATATGTCGCGAAACCACGGCGAATTGTTTGCATAAGTTTGTAACTTCATTCAAGACCATAAACCTTATCCTCTTCAACATTGAAAAAAAACTGGTCGATCCTCTCCATAACATTACAAATCTAACCTTACCAAATACAATTTTGTATATTATTTTCTCTTTTTTAGATATAAAAACAAATCAACTGGTAATAATCTTGAATTCTCTTTTTTAGATATAAAAACAAATCAACTGGTAATTATCTTGAAACATATGCTCAACTCATCTTTCCTTATTCTTTTTCCTTCTTATGAATCACCTTTTTTTTCTCACTTATAATGGAGACAAATCAAAATATTGTTCACATAGCCTCAAATTCCACATTCCAACGATTGTAATACCATTAAATTTGGAAAACATCCAGAGTAGTTATGATTTTTTTCCTTTCTAACTATGCCGATATGTGTTATAGCCTGATTTACATAAACATGTGTGCGTAGATTTCATCTAATCCTCTTCAAATATTTTAATAAAGAAAAACCGTGTCCGAACAAAAACCGGCATCCGTATTTACAAACCCGGTATTGAAATTGTTGTTAAACATGTAAAGCTGGTGGTTATACAGAGCCGTTTCATAACCAAAAGATCGACCATAACTAACTTGATGAATTATTCAGATTTGCCCTGCATAAGTCACAAGGCCTAACACCAACAGGTTGATGCAATATACATGGAATCCGTTGAATGTTTCTCTAAAACTAATCACTCTTTGTTTTTTACTTGTATCAAATAAAATATAATCAATGTTAAATTTTTATTTAAAAAAAAAATTACTATTAAAACGAGCGCTTTTTTATTTTCATCGCTTTAACCTCAAATTCAAATTCAAAAGCACTCATAAAAAAATTTACATAAGAAAATTATTTCATTGTAAATATATTAAAACTCAGGATAAACAGTTCCATTCTGATTAATAAAATTGGAATAAGTAAATAAATTATTTATACTATGTACAACTTAACTTTGTTTCTGCTCACGTTTTACATAGATATTGCGTTTTGTGTATATTTTTTGTGTATTGCGCGAGTGAATGTATTTATTAGCGAGAATGTGTAGTGTGGAATTCTATTATGGTCACTGCTTTATTACAAGTTTTTTGTAAGTTGAACATAAATTATTTCTGCTAAAAGTCTATAGTAACAAACTCTTTTTTTAAATATTAAAGGGCTAAAGACCAACGTAGTGAGGTTATCATTGAGGTATTATTGTATATAGTACTTGATAGATATCTCGTCTTTTGTTTCTTTTTTGCATATATTGCGAGTGAATGTGTTTATTAGCGTGAATGTGTAGTGTGGAATATTAAGTACCCATCTACTTGAATTCTATTTTGGTCACTGCTTCACGCCAGTTAGCAATCATTAATGAATTATTTGTGTAGCACTTAATATATATCGAGTCGTTAGTTTCTCTTTTTTTGTACATTGTGCGAATGAATGTATTTATTAGCGTAAATGTGTAGTGGAATGTTGAGTACCCATCGACCATCAATTCTATTATAGTCACTACTTCACTTCAATTTTTTTTTTTCAATTAAAGAAAAATGAGCATAAAGACTTTTGTAACAACCATTTTTTAAGGACTAACGGGTTAAAGATCAACGTAATTGATTTTAATATTTGAAACATACCACATGCTGCAGGAGGACGACTGATTGGAGTGACGACTTTGCTTGACTGTCGTCAGGTAAATTTTTAATCAAACGTCCACGGGAATGAGGCAACAACTCGGCAAGCTGGTATTAATTGATATTGGCATAAATGGATTTCCGCCGTGGGCAAATGATACTAACGGGAGGATTTGGGAATGTCAATTATTATGAGTCGACGTTGGAAGTGGGGGAACAGTTTGGCCCATTGCTCATTCGTATGACATCGAAACGCGGAGAGGTATCCCAATTAGTAAGGATAATTGTCGGCATACCTCAACCAGACCTCGGAAACACTTTAAATTTTCATTAAGTCCCGCTTGCCTTCCAAAACATTTCCAAACGAATTCTCCGATAGACTAGTGTTAATTATTAACACAAGTTAATTATTTTCTTTATAAACGAATTTTGCTGAGTGACTGCGCTTAATTGGGGCTAAATTGTAAATGTTTTCCGTTTAATTAATTATATTACTATTTTTCATTGGCCAAATTTTAGAAGAATGAAACGAGTAGAAAATAGGCATTTTTTTTCTAGGTGTCCTCTCGAACTTTCCCCGGCCTATTTATCGGCCTAATCGTTACCAACCTGCCATATATGCTCTGATATCTAAAGAAGAGTAATTTTGTTGTTGTTTTTAATGACTGACAAGACTTGACGCAATCTCAATCAGCTATGGACTACTACCGATGAGTTACTTTTTGTGCCTCCCAGCTGTAAATGGATTTCTTTTGCTGGCAAAACCCAGCATTTGGATCCATTTAAAACAGTATCCAGTAGCCATAATATCCTCCTAAAAGACAATGGCATATTGCCCAAGACTTCTAGTCTTTTATTTTCATAGATACCTATACTCAGTCTACCATATATAGTCGGTATTAATTGAGAACCCTTTGTGTCAGTCTGTTCTAGGGAGTATTTTGATTTGAACTTGTGTACAAATTCTGAATTTTGTGATCACAGAGTGAACAGGTAGAATAATAATGAATAGTAGTGCAATAGGTATGGTCCTTGATGGAAAAAATGGTTAGTGATTATTTGGAGATCGTGAGATGCGGTCGAGTGGGACGTATGTTTAGAAAAACATTTTCTTTATCGTGCCAACGTTTCGATCTTTATTGAGATCATCTTCAGGGCCTGGGATTGATAAACATTATTTCAATTATACAAATACATGTAGGATGCGAACAAAATGAATGTACACAATGATAGAAATTTTAGATTCAATCAAAGTATTTGTATTCACTCAAAGTGTTTGTTTTCTGTGGTACACTCGTACCACACACTGTGGTAGGTCTCCAATTAATCATTAATTAACGGTCACTAAATACCCCAATGGTTAGTGACGAGTTAGGGTTGAGGCATGTGTTATTGTCAGGGAAGGGTTTGAGTTAGGGTTTAGGACGGGTCAGATAGGGTTAGATTAGAGATATATAGGGTGAGCGGTAAGGTAGGGTTAGGGTTAAGATTTAGAATAGAGCAAAGGTTAGGGTAAGGATTACGGCTGATGTTAGGGACGGGATGGGATTAGGTAAGGTTAGGTAAATGAGTTAGGATTAAGGGCGGTCATGTAGAACACAGTAGATTTAGGGTTAACCCTTTATGTCACAGTTGTATAAGAGCAAGACATTGCAAGATTAGCAATTTGGTTAAAAGGTTAGCGGAATCATGGAAATATAGATAGAGAGTTTAGATTGGGGCCAAATAAATTATTGTTGCCAATAGACGGGCAGAAACAGAAAAACGCAACACTGCGCCCGTCGTAATGTCACAGGATTTTCTGCTAACCTTAAACAAAATTTTTCAAGTTGTTTATTGCTCTGAAGCAACTTCGGTCAAGACAGGTTAAGAACGGTAAGACAGGATAGGTTAATAGTAGGGCCGAGTTAAGTTAGGTTAGGCAGGGCTAAGGTAAAAGATGAGCTAGTTAGGTTATGCAGAGGGTTGATGTTTAGGTTAGAGTCGGTTTAGGAACAGTTTACGTTAGGTCACGTTGAGGATTAGGGTTATTGTGTAGGTTAGGACGTTATTGATTTAGGGACGGTTAGGGTCAGGGTTGGAGTTGTGCTGCTGTGTTAGAGTGTTCAAGGTAAGGTTAGTTTAGACAGTTTTAGGGTTAGTGACGGTTAGGTATTATTAGGGTTTAGATTATTGTAAAGGTTAAGGTTAGGATTACAGATGAGGATAGGGTTGGGATGAGGATTAGAGTTAGGTTATGTAGAGTATAGTTAGTGTTATGATTAGGGTAAGAGCTAGTGACTTGTTACAAACCCGTGAAGCAGATAATATACAAGTGCGAAGCAATGATTCATTACAAAATTATACATTCATGCTTTTTGTAAATTGACGGGTTCATTAAGACGTAAAACTTACGAATAATTCACCTAATTTAAAAAAGCATTTTGCATAATATAATTCTAATCATGCCGCTATATTATTATTGGTATATGAGCAGTGATATAATTTATTTTTTACCTTGTACGAGCCAAGATTCTTCACTGAGCACGATATCCTTACTGGGCGCCCGGCCGGAACCGTGATGTTCTCCATAACGCCGAGAAATTCCGGCTCGTTTTGATCGACTAAAAAAAGGAAAAAGGGCAAATTAAAATTAAGTCAAATAAAATAAAAATAAAAAATAATGTAAGATAGGATAAGAGCAGTTAACATCAATCTTTGAAGTTTGTTTTGTGCTTCTGATACCCTTATGCTCAAAGGGATCAAACTAATAGCGACCGCAGACTCTCAGTAAAGCTTTCTTTATAAAAATCTCCGTTAATAACGGCTTTACTCAAAAGGGATAATGGAGAAAATGGTTTAGTTCCACCTTTTCGATCTCAACCAATTACAATTTATTGGGTTTAACTACAATTACATTTTACACGTCACAATACTAAATTATTTTGAAACAAAGCTATTCATTGCTTTTTATTTATAGTAAATCTTAGTTTTATAGATATAATTTGTGTTTATTTATGAGTGATTTTATTAACTAACTATTATAATAAGCAATGACAGCGTTGACTGTGAAAAGTACGGTGGACTTGATTGAATATGTTGGTTATGCGGGCTGTTAGAGTGAAAGTTTAGCAATCTACCTGAAAAGATAGGTTTTTAATACCAACAAAATGTTATTATGATTCTTAATAATTGTTATATATAGGAAATTTATCTTGTTATTGTTTTCAATTTCCATACTTATAACGAAGAATTTTGGCCCACAGCCACAATAAAACAAAAAAATTAAAAATACCAAAAACGAATGCAAACCTAATGTTAATATTTATAGAAGAATAGCACAAAAAACCAACCATAATAAGTCTTAACATTATATATAATATNCGTTAATCGATAATTATTCCGAAATCGTGAGATGCGGTCTGGTGTGATGTAGGTTTCAGAAAAACATTTTCTTTATCGTGCCAACGTTTCGATCTTTATTGAGATCATCCTCAAGACAAACACTTTGAGCCCTGAGGATGATCTCAATAAAGATCGAAACGTTAGCACGATAAAGAAAATGTTTTTCTGAAACCTACATTACACCAGACCGCATCTCACGATTTCGGAAAAAATTTATTAATAAATGTAATTTTAATTATTTACCTATTCCTTTGGTAATTGTAGTTTTATTATGATTGTATTTTTGTTAGAAATGGTGAAGATGGGTTTTATACCCCGCAACACCAATCTCTAAATAAATTCAACACCTCGAAATAGCTGGTTTCTTTTTCATATATAACTTCTTCCTCCAAAAATAGAAAAAATATAATAAATACTGCTCGCTCCCTATATGGAGCCAAACATTGATATTCTTCAATTAACTTCAATTAACTAACTGTTTTGGTAGAAATGAGACAACCTGGCATGGCCTATTCTTCATCGGGTGAGGATGAACCATTATTCTTCGAATCAGATCTTCCGAGGCAATCTATCGACTGATCTCTTGAAACATGTGCTGCCGTTTCCTTAATTAATTTTTTAAAATGTTTTAATTGAATTTTTAGTGTTAGAAGACTGGTTCGAAATAGTTAATTTTTGAATCTGGGATGTGCATCCTTTTTTTTCTTATACCACGGACCCAGGCAACTACCACCATTTGATAGAGATGCTCCCAAACAAAGTATATATCCAAGAAGAGCACGACCTGTCGTGAGGTAAGAGTCAATGGGACTTTTCCATTAGTTATAAACAAAGTTGTTCATTTATATCATCCTGACTAACAATAGGTTGCAAAATAATCGCGCAGGGTTTTCAGAAGTGCAAACCCCAGTGCTCGAAAATAAATTTAATCAATTACATTTGACCAGTTTTGTTTGTATTATACACTTCCCCTTTTTCCAGGTAGAATTTGTTATTTTTCCATGTTTCCCAAATGCGGTTTTGGCGGCTGCCCAGAAAATCAATGTGCCTCCCTTTAAACGGATCGAGACGATTGGCCGGGATGAGAGAAAAACCTTACGAGACGAATGAAACATTCCAAAGATAATAAACTAATTTTAGCTAATTATGTGATGAGACGTCACGACTGAAGTTGGACAAACCTTCGATCTCAGATTTTTTTCTGACATCTTGTTGTCAGACTGGACGATTTTGTTTGTTCACGATGTGTTTTTTTTCGCTGCAACTTAGATCACGGTTATCACTTTTTGACAACAGTTCGCTTAATATCTTGCGAGAATAGCTCGGTGGTAGATCATAATCTTCCTAAGGATGGGGTGATCTTCCTAAGTGAGCTCGATCTTTCCCGAGCCGAGCTGGAATGCCTTTAAGGATTCTGTGTCACGAAAATTTAACTATCGTAAAGTTATCACATCAGCTCTGATTCCTTCAATACCACCCTGGCGAAAAAAAACCCAAACAGCTCAACCGAGCCTAAGCGAAGCCTAGTGCCAGCGGGAGTACACCGAGAGAGAAGAGTTCACGGGCATCTAGGGCATTGGCCGGAGTCATTACAACCGTACTCGAACCCAACCCATCTGGTGGTCACTTTCCGGCATTGCGATTTTGCCCTTATGCTTCCGCTCAGGACGCTGTAGCTGTAGCTTATCATGCAGTAGCAATAGATGGTTTTTCGCCAACCAGTTCGGCGTACACCGACGCAAGCCAGGTTCATTCATTGCTATCACAGTATTTCCCAGACCCGGCATATTGCTGATGATGGCCCTAGAGAAAGGAAAAGAAGTTTTGCTCTTCGTCATACGTCATCTAATGATTACCCAATTAATGTACTCATTAGACCTTTTCTATTAACATAGAATTCCTTATTTCCCCATTGGGTTGCTTTAACTAGCTCTTGTTTATTCCAAAAAATAAATTTGGCTTTCTCATTGTCTGATATACCCTCATGACCTGAGACCAACCTTAGATTTTGACTATTTGTAGATAGCAGTTTTTTCAGGATATAAGCTTGAAGAGCCTTTAGAGTTACCTGTCTGTTTGATAGTATTAACTGGTGTCTAGAAATGTTCGTTATTTGTCGTGCGCATGTCTGTATGTCTTTGAAAGATGGTTGAGGTAGAGCTGAGGGCTAAATACAATCGCTGTTTGAATATCCGTTAGTGCTGCCTGACCACACGATCGGATTTAGCTGCGCTTTTGAGAAGTTTGTTCATTAATATTTATTTTGTTTCCCATGTAAATTGGTTTGATATGGTTGTGCCGAAAGGCGTGTGGTGCTCATACGTAAGACCCTTTGTGCCCATTCCATTACCATTTCCTATTTTAGAGCCGTATTCATACTTTAGATGGTGGAGCTGATAGTCATATGGTGTTCTTGGTTAAGCTGCTTTATAGTCATTCCCTTACCAATTCCCATCGTTAGACAGTCTGTATTCAATAGATAAGATCCTTTAGAGCTGCCTTGCTGTTAGTATTAGTTGAAAGTTCAGTGTAACAGTTTTCTTTTAGACATACTTGATTATTATATTATTATTGTTGTACCCTTAGGACAGAGGTTAAATTCGATTCAGTAGTATTTATTAAACAAATGAAGAACTAAACTTTTAAAAGGTATGAACATAAACTCATTACAACGACTTTTATATGTATGTTCTTAGCGTAAGGTTTATAATTGAGGAAAATTCGGCAACTAGAAACAACGTACAAAGATAAAAGGCCGACCTTGCGGACAGATGTCTCCCCTCTGGGCTTTCTATTTTAAATGTAAATGCGAATCACGAGTAGATCTTAAAATTAGCCGTTATGGTTATAGCAGGAGGAATTTGTTTACGTTTTATAAACACGTGCTTCTCTTAAATAATATCATTTTTCAAATATACGTGTTATTTTAACAACTGTTTATTTAAAACTCCCCGATTCTTGTATTAATTAAGAAAAAATATATTGACTTTTAAATAGTAACAACTACCTAGGGGTTTATCCCCCAAAACCTCGAGGAATGTCGAGTACTCTAGGACAGTGCGCATTATATGTGCTTGTGTATGTAATTTATTAGCGTGAATGGAAGAGTTTATCCCCAATTACTCAGAGGAATATCGAGTACTCTGAGTAGTGAAAATGAATGTGTTAATGATGTTTGTAGATCGACCTGCAGATAATCAATGTAGACTTCAAATCTTCTTTAAGGTCTTTACTAGGTGAAAGAAAGACAAAAGTGTTGGGATCACCAAGCTTTCGGCAACATTATGTTTGACCAAGCCGTCATGCTGAGCACCAATAAAAACGTAATGTACTTCTGTGCCCAAAACACCATGTCTTTTTATTTCCCCATTAAGGTTTAAGTAAGATATTTCAATTTTTGTGCAATTTGTTTTTCATGTTTTTAATTGTTGTTTTTTTATATGATAATAAAACAGACCCTGAAGATGACAGTATAAAAATTGTCGAAAGCTCGGCGAAAACCGAAAGGAAGTTTTCCTCTGTGTTGACCTCTTCCGTAGATCCTCCGAAAAAACTTCACGTTTCCAGCAGGTCGATAATCCAGCTCATCGTTACATATATATAAATTATTATTGTTGTCAATTGTTAATGTTATATGCGAATAATTACTCACTACTTTACATAGATGTCTTGCTCACCATGTATAACTGAATGCTGGCCATGTGCTTCATAACCTAAGCCAAAGCACTTTTACATTTGATTTTTTCCGATGTAAATTTTTTGCCCTTCTCTCTTGGGAAAGTATGCATTATTGTTTTAATTGTGATTGTTGAATTTATATTAATTATGTATATTTTTTCTTAATAAATAGGCCCTGATGATGGCAACAAAATGTTGCAGAAAGCTTGGTGATCCCAACACTTTTGTCTTTCTTTCACCTAATAAAGACCTTAAAGAAGATTTGAACTCTACATTGAATGTGTTAATGCAATTTATTAGGGTGAATTGAGAGGCATATCTGTAAGTACCCCAAGGAATATGGATTACTCTGGGGCAGTGTGAACGAAGTCTGGTGTGTGAATGTAATTTATTAGCGTGAATAGACGGGCATATCCCCAAGCATCCCGAGGAATGTCGAGTACTCTAGGGCAGTGTGAACAAAGTCTGGTGCGTGAGTGTAATTTATTAGCGTGAATTGAGGAGACTATCTCTAGGTACCACAAGGAATATCGATTACTCT